TGTATCATCAAGAAGGCAGTCAGAATACTTCTATATCCCCAAATCGAAAAGAGGGAAAATTTATTCTAAAGTTTAGCCCAAAAGATGAAACAAGAGAATAATATTTTTGGATTTAAGAATCAATTTTTATATTTTCTTTTCCAAGAGCGGGCTTTACACCTTGTTTGATTGTGCCTGTTGTTTTGGCTACAAAACTCTTGCTAATTTTCTCCATACTTTTTGAGCTTTATCGTGTTGGAAGGCAATCAGTCTCACACCACAAAAAAGAAATTTCTCTTGCTGATAAATCGGGCACATTTGCGCAATGACTTTTTACCTGACGCAAGTATTACGTATTGGCTACAGCTGCAGAGTTTCACGCAGATTTGTAGTTAATTTTGTATCCTAGTTTTTGTAAGTTTTTCTTGATATTATGACTTACAAGAACGTGGAACTGATTCTCCTGGACTTATGCTCTGACATAGCAGTGACATAGTGATAAATACAACAAAAACAGCTTAGGAATGAATGTTTCCACAATTATGTACTGTGGACTTCATAAAATACCTAAGAACCTTTAGCTCATTAGCTCTAATCGTTTTTCTAATCGTCTGTCTTGCATTTCAGCTGAATGTACGCCATTTAATGTAGAGGGTAATTCTTGACTGCGGATTTTATAGCTAAATTTCAGGTGAAAAAGTGATAAGTAGGCATAAGGAACATGCTAGTAACCTCTTGTCCTTATTTCGCAACACTGTCGCTACCTCGATTATTATGAAATGAAAATACACAAACCTTTTCACATCTAATGCCCAATAGACAAATGTTGTCGATTTTCCCCACATTTTCGTTGGACATTTTGTTCGATCTTGTTCCTAGAGATTATAGAAAAATACTTTCTTCCAATAACGTAGCAAAATTGCACCTACCTCAAACCATAGAACACGTATAGCTTCGATGGGAATGCACTTGACTTTCTTTGATGGGAAATGATAGTTTTTGATTGTTAGCGCCACTTCATTTACGCTGACGAATTCATCTTCATAGAGCAAGGACATTTTATAGTTTTGGTGAAGGCCTGGAAGCAAAGAAATACAACAGGCGAAAAATATGAAAAGTTATGCGACTAATGTGTACGATGTATAAACATGAGCAAACTAAGAAAGGCCCGCAGAGCCTGATGATTTGCAGACGCAAAATTTTTTATAGGCGTGACCAAAAGCAAAATTGTAAGGCTTCAGTCATATGAAGCCTTAAGGCTGGAGATTTGAAGCACGAAAATAAAAAAGCAAAATTTTTTACAGCAACAGATGTTCAAAACATGAAGAATACAAGTAGACGATTGGATATAGCAAATAATGAATTTAGTATGTATGTATTAAATATAATCTTGAACAAAAGTAAGAAAGTAGTAAGAAAGGCACACCAAGTCCAGCGATCGTTAAGAACAGAAAATTTTTAAGGCAGTAACTAAAATCAAATTGTGAGGTTCCAGAGATAAGAAGCCGCAATGGGGCCGATGATGATAAATAATAATAAAAAAGCGGAAAGGTATGATTTTCTTCATTATCAAGAGTAGGATAAAGCTTTCTTTCTCGTTATG